TTTAGATATTTTTTGTAACTTTCTCAGACCAGTCAGATTCATAGGGTGTATATAAGAGAGCTATTTTAAAACATAAAATGTGCCGTGGTAAACTAGTACACTTATACAAGATAACATTGAAAACTTGAAGTGTATGAACTCTGATTTATGCTCCTTTTTTGCCCAATCATTTTGTCAGATGGCTGTTTTGGAAATCCAGAGTAATGGAGATTCGTCGTATGTGTCCCAAGAAGCCATAAACAGTGCCATTCAGTCCCTAGAAGACCCGCTGCAGCGGGTCAGTGAAGAATCAACCGCAGCTTAAGATCTCAATCAGCCATCGGAGCACAAACTCTCCATCTGATTATTTTCCACCTTTCTCACATTTTTAGGAATTCATCCAGAAGTGTCTGGAGGTCGACCCGAGCAAAAGACCCACAGCCAAGGAGCTGCTGTTCCATCCCGCCTTGTTTGAGGTGCCCTTACTCAAGCTGCTAGCCGCACACTGCATCGTCAGCCACCAACGTACGTCAGCACACACACTCAAACTGTGTTATCTGTTTACATTGTTATTAAGGTTTTTTTTTAAGTTGCTTATTTGCACTTTCTGGGTTACAAAACATTTCCTGCTGTTGGAGTCTGAAGCTGCTCAGCTGTAAATCTGTTAGCGCTGAGCAGGAATTAAACCTTCAGAATTTGTGTCAAAGATTGGCGGAGTGTTGAAAGAAATCTGTATTGTTGCATTCTCAGCACTTTTTTGTTAAATATGAGGACCAAATGTCCATATAGTAATATAGTATTTTTTGCTATACATGAAAAGATTCAATGATATTGACTTTGTTGCAATAATGACAATGAACGTAGCTCCTAAACATTCTTCAGTACAGATTTTAAACTTTATTTTTAAATTTTCCCCAGTCCGGGCAGAGCTATAGCATCACGTAATTGGGACAAAACCCACAGCAGACTCTACTGAACAATGGGACTTTTCTGCCTTTATACTCATTACCAAACATCCTCGAATGAAAGAAGGAAATGGCCATTTCCCCTCTCCCAGACTGGTTAGCCAATCAGAATGCTACTTCCCTGCCCACGACTCGACCATGAGCTCAGAGCGTGATCAATTAGCATAACCAGTTCCTTTAAAATGTGTTGAAAATGTATAAAATGAGCATGAAACATACAATTTATCAAAGAACATAGAAAATTCTTATATCAATTTTCCCATTCCAGACTAAATATGAAGTGTCTGACAATTAGTTGGAAAATCAGAGCAGATTGGAGCCTTCAGGAAGTTCTGGAAATGCAATCAGAGCTGTTTTTTAGTTTGTGAATCAGCTGAAGACAAATTTCAAGCCTTCTTCCATCTTCAGCTTTCTTTCTAGAAAGCTTTCTAGAAAGCTGAAGATGGAAGCATTGACAGATTTACGTTTTGTTTCTCCAGATATGATTCCAGAAAACGCTCTAGAGGAGATGACAAAGAACATGGACCCCAACCTGGTCATCGTTGAAACCAAGAACGGAGTTCAGATGAAGTAAGCCTTTCACTTCAGAAATTAGTTGATTGCAATTTTTGACTATTTTGATTTGATTACAGACAGAATCATGTGTATAATATGCAGATGTAGCTACAAACACCACAAGTTATATTTGTTTTTTCCCCTTCTTATTAGACTCTCCCAGTTTCCTGCATTAGAACTGGACAAGTTTCTGGAGGATGTGAGGTAATAGCAGATTTATTTTGCTAATCTAATTTCTAAGACACTTTAGTTTTCAGTTGGTTGAAAAAAGTGACGGTGAAGTTATTTCCAATGTCTTAAAGCAACCGTTTGAATTTGTGGATCAACATTTGCGAACATATTTACATCTCTGGGTTCATAATATGGTCTTTCTTTTGGGATTACATACTGTCAACATTAAAAAATTCTTGGTGTGATATTTTGATTTATGATAATACATTTCAAGGAATGATTTCTGAGAACTAACACTGTTCTTCGAAGTGTTACTTTGACTCTTCTCCACTGTTCAATCAAAAATTTCAATAAACTGGAAAACATGATTAAATACAGTTATTGTCTGATGTTTACTGATTAAAATCAAAGTTCTTTTTTACTTCCTGTTATCAGGAATGGGATTTATCCGCTGACTGCTTTCGGGATGCCCCGTCCACAGCAGCCTCAGCAAGAAGCCGTTAAATCGCCCATCGTCCCGCCTTCAGTCAAATCCCCGACACCTGAGCCTGCAGAGGTTGAGACCAGAAAGGTGGGAACTGCAGTCCTCAGACACCTTCTAATGCATCAGATTCACTTTTTTAAAATTTCTTTGGGGGACACCATTAACAGGGAGAAGTCAGAGTTAGGGTATAGTGAAAATATCTGAATCAAATTGGTTTGTTCAGGGTAATGTTCAGGTTTGTTCATTACCCTGAACAAACCAATTTGACACATTATTCTCTAAAAAAACAAGTTGTCTGGACATGGATTGTCGTCTTACTGTGCTCTAATTATTTCATGGCAGAAATATGTAATAAGTCTCAAACACGTTTTCATTTCAGGTTCTCCAGATGCAGTGTAACATCGAGCCTGTTGATGAGGGCACCAAGCATCACGTATGTTTTAGTCGAGGGGCAATTATTCTGCTTCTGAATGTTGGGGAAAAATTTTTGTGCTCAAATTATATTGACTTGTTTTGTTTTTCTTACAGCTGACGTTGTTGTTGAAACTTGAGGATAAACTGAACAGGCACTTGAGCTGTGATTTATTACCAAGTAAGTAAGACTTGAGTACATTTTCTTGATGTGGTTATTCTATGGTTTAAAAATAATTTGGGTGCTTGCACAGTCATCGAACAGTTAAGATTTTGGTTTATTTTAGCTGCAGATATTTTTTTATTTCTTCTAAATTTATACCTGATAGTCTGGTAAGCTTGGTTCAATTGGAGACCAGAGTTGCAACATGTTTAGTTGCATTTTTAGCTGTTGCAGTTCACAGTGTCAAATTAACCAAACCCTTTAAAAAAAAAAACATGTTCCCTCTCTTACCTGTGGTGGCGCTGCACCAAAAACCACCCGAGGAAAAACACAAAACCATCTGAAGAAGACATAGAGCCCAACTGCCTTCACAAAATGTAAACAAAGATCTAGTGATGTCAAATTTTAGCGTTTGTCGGATTGTTTGATAAAAGACTATGAGCCATTTCTCCTGCAAGCATTACACTTGCGTATTTGTTTTGGTTGATTTTACCCAGAATGCCTTGTCTCCGGTCCAGGTAGCATCAGAGTTTGATTACATTCAAACCCCCGCCAAACGAACCAGACTTTCTAGTCAAATGAACTTAGAGAAGTTGGTAGTGACAGGAAACAAGCCACTGTTATCGATGCACCTATATCATGTTTCATTAAAAAAAAAAAAAACAACTTTAATTAGTGATTGCTTTTATTCTTTTGCACAGATGAGAATGTTCAGGAGCTGGCCGTCGAGCTCGTCCAGCTGGGATTCATCAGCGAGGTGAGCAGAGAGGATCTGATTCTCCGTAGAAATCCCAGCTGGAATCCTTCTCACTTTGTCCTTTTGCCGTTGCAGGGCGATCAGCCGCGGCTCGCGTGCGTTCTCGAAGAGGCCTTCTCCAAGTTCTACAGCCGGAACGATTCTCTCAACCCGGTGACCGTTTCATCGTAGCCGAGGCCTCGCCAGGCCTTCTCTGAGCTCTCCTCATCCTCCGCAGCAGGGCTAACTTTCGCTTCACGTCGACATCGCTGCAAAGCTTTAGTGAGAACTGAGAGGGCAGCCTTGGTCTGACTGCAGATCCTGCAGTATCTTCTATCTTCTAGTGGGAAAAGCTGCCACTAAGTGGTTGTTGGTCTCTCTTCATTTTTATTTTTAATTTCTCCCACCAAATACAGCCATCTTCTTCTCTTCTGAAAGAGGAAATTGTAATTGAAGCCTAATGGAAAGTACAAATGTTTTATTTCTTTCAGTGGTAAGAAAATGGTAGAAGAAAGCTAAATAAAATGGATAACAGCAGTATTTTCCTTAAGTCAGTGTTGAAGTTGCATTTTAAACTATTTTTTTTTCTTAAATCATTAAATGGAGTTGTGTGTCTGTCTGCTGTCCCGACAAACTGAAGCGTGTGTTTACAGTGTTGTGAGTTGAACGTCTGGTCGTTTAAACTTTTGAGGTGCCTGCTGACCTTGGATCAGTTTCAGGTGGAAAACTAGGGAGGAAACATAAGCAGTTTCAGTTTTGCTTTAGAGTTCCAACTATCACACATGTAGTCATAAACCCTTCAGCTGCAACATGATCAGATGAGCAGGTTAAGATATATATAAAAATCTATTTATTTGTGTGTCTCTTTGAGTGATCTATTTCACTTCCAGCACAGGCCCGGGTCTGATTGTATGCTTTTACTCCCTGTTTTTCTTTAAATCAAACTGTTAGTTTCTATGAAAAATGACCAAGTGCAAACATTGCAGCACTCCTCAACAACCAGTTTTCTTTAGGTCTAATGTTTTCACTCAGATTTCACTGGTGTGATCAGTTGTCAAGTTCTGGATTTTCACCTGTGAATACACATTTGGTTCATGTCCAAAAGGAAAAGCAATGCATGGAATCTGTTTTCGCTCATCTGGAAGTAGATTTTGTTGCTCTTCAGTTTCTGGCTCAGTCCACTTCTATCGGATAAGGGGACTTTTTTTTTTTTTACTCGTTTCCTTTTCGTAAACTTGTCCAGCCGTGGGCTCTGGCTTGCACGCGGAACATAAAAGATGTCGGTGAGCCTGAGCTGCGTCCTCCGCGCTGTGACTACATCCTGACCGGGTCTGTAGATACTAGTGTGGGACTGCCTGGCATGCCTGTAACCATCATGTACTCTGTATGCTGGACACTGTGCTGTTTACACAACGCTTTTACCCTCTTTTTCACTTCCTCCACTAAGATGGTAACAAAAAAAATCACATTATCTCTACCTGATGTGTTTGACTCATTTTTTAAAAGCTGTATAAAAAGCAGGGTTCCAACACAACACAGTTTCTCTCAGACTTTATTTACTATCCTGTTCTGAATTTAAAGTCAGTTTTATCCATCTATCAATGACTGATCTATCATCCAGCCATGTTCTTATGTGTCAATTCAAGAATATGTATCCCAAAAGAAAATTAAATGTAATTCATATGAAAGTATATCAGCAGAATGAATCTCCAGTAGGGGTGAAACAATTGATGGAATTTATTGTGATTAATCAATCATTGGAAAAAAATGCCAACTAAATTAGTAATTAATTATAACAACTGTGCAAAAGTAGGAAGAAACAAATCATTCCTACTACACAGCAAAGCTAACAGATCTACTTCAATGTGCCGCAAACTTGAGCGCCGCAATTTTATTGTTTCGTGCATCTATGAACTGGTTATGTCCTCCATCCATCTATTTTCTCATAAGTCCATCCATTTGTATAACAATTCATATTTTCATATACCATCCAATGCCCCCTTGGTTTTTCCATCCATCCAAGTTTCAACCATCCATTCACTTTTGCATTAAAAGCTTGACTACTGTGGAACATTTGCCCATCCATGGAAAACTGAGAAGTAAGAAATTACTTACAATTAAAATAAGAAAAATATTGACAAATGTTTAGGAATTAGGAATCCTACAGAAAAAAACTCATTTTGATGGTATATTTTTGAAGTGTAAATTAAAACTTCAAGTCCGCCAGTAGAAATAATTTACATAAAGACAAAACAAATGGAACAAAATTGAATATTTTAAATAATTTATACAAAACCCCATCGTGGTGCATCAGGAGTGTAACCTCTAACCTCAGAGCATCACTGTTTGAATTCAACAATTATTCATCCAAAATGGTTTACAAATGTTAGCCCTTGTACAAGAATATTCATGTACAGAAGTTCACAATGTGTGCTCAAACAACACTTGGATAAAACACATTTCATGCTGACAAAACACGTTGCCGTACAAAATTACAGCAGTTAAAATAGAAGAACAGCGAAGACTAAAAAATAGCTTTTATATAAAACACCCTAGAAAGACACTGTAAATAAAAAGCTACCAAAATGGCCACGTCTCAACGATGAGTTTCTCAGCTGCGTGGGAATTTTCAGTTCTGTACAGTGAGTACAAAATAAATCCAAACAAAAACAGAACATAGCACTTCAAACACATTACTCATTCACATTAAATTCTTGTTTTACTTCCCAGTTTGAAAGTGACGTATATAGGCACAGTAATTAAATCCGTGAGCCATGTTTGGTGAACACATTTTCATTTGTAACTTCAAAAGCCAGTTCAGTTCAGTTCAGCCGTGAGCTTCCAGTGTCAAAATGTCTGCTGAAACAAGGGTTGCAGTTTCTTTTTAGCGCTCCTCCTTTTTCGGGTTTCAACAGTGAGACAATCAAGTACTCCAAAGAGTCTCCCAGACTGCAGCCAGGAAGCTTCATAACAAAGCCAACATATGTTACGTAGAAATATTCCAAATCTGAAGGGTCTCGTTCCAAAACACTGAGTAATTTTAAATTTAAAAAACAAAAACTTTGATCTGAATTTCAGCACAATCCAAATAATCCTCTATTTACAGTCAACACAAGCTGACAAGAACATCTTGTTTCATGCTTGTTTTCAAAAATAATTAATCATCAATCACATTTATGTTCTCATAGATATAAAGTAAATCGTTTGGACGTCTTATTTATATTTTATCCAATAAAGACATTTTATATTGAAAACTCACATAAAGTCCATCAACTAAATCAATTTTGGACTCTGACTATTCAGTCAACAAATCTTTTCTTTTTTTTTTTTAGTTTTACTTTTCATAACTGAAACTAATTTACAAAAAAATGTTTACGGCTAAAAATTTCCAATACATCAAATATGTATGTTTACATCAGAGTGGCACAGCTGGAAACTTGAAGTTAAATTATGGCTAAATTTCCATTCAGCTGCTTTAGTTTCTCTGTCCTAAAAACGCACATGTAGTAGGACTTTAGATTAAAAGACAGCTTTAATATTGGCATCTGTACTGTTTCTTTTATTCATCAAACGGTCTAAATCAGAACGTTCTCATTAATTATTCAGAAGAACAAATACACTTTTACATACTTCTTTAGCTTGCCTATTTAATAGTGCAGTTGAATTAAAAATTGAGTTGCAATATGTCAGATTTGGCACTCTTTAAAGCGTAAAACATACAATTGTTGTCAGATAGCAGTGCCTCCACATTTCTTAGGACCCCTGATGGATGTGTAAAAAAATTGTAATAAATATTTTGTGCAGCAAAAAATGTTAGAAAAAGGATTCAATTTATTGAGTGGGGAAAACCTCTGATTTTACCAAATAATTATTATTATTCATAAACAGTACCTCCGAAAATGGTTTAAATTTAATTTCACTGAATCCTTTTTTGTTCTATGTACTTCATTTTATTGAATTTAATTACCAAAAATTAATGATTAATGACAAAATTTGCATCTCTTTCTCAGACATGTACTTTCTTCTGTGTATTCTACTCTTTTGTTGTCATTTCAATTGAACATCCACATCAAACGCCAGACCTAAAGGTTTGTTCATCTGCAAGGCCTGAAAAAGCAACGATGTTGTGCTTCTCTCATTTAATGAAGATGGATACGACGCCGCCGTTAGCAGCTCTGCATATAAAATACCTCGCTTTTGTAAGAGAAATTTTCTGATATGGGAGGAGAACAGGAAATATAATGAATAACACCAAGTTAGCACCAACAGTGCAGCTGAAGGCATTGGACTTTAGGAGGTTTGTAGCTGTTTCCACTGGTAACCGGACGCAGGCGTCTTCACCGCGTTGCTTTAGCTCTGTACTTGGGAAAAAAAAACACGAAAAAAACTCTTCTGGTCCTGGCAAGGAAGGCTGAGAATGCATCAGGGATCCACTTGGTCCTTTTTTGTTATTTTTTCAAACACTGGTACATCAGCGCTCGTGGATTCAGCATGTAGCGCTCAGAGTTGAGCAGCTTGGTGAGATACTGAGGTACCTGGGGCCGCGGAGCCACGTATGACACGCCGGGGCTGACCGCCATCACCTCGGCAATCTTCTGCTTCATTTCGCGGATCTCCCTGTCCTGCTTCTTCACTTTCTCTGCAAGACAGAAAAACACACAGATAAAGACATGGACACCAAAGGAGACACCAAATATCCACAGTCTAAGATTTTATAAGACAATAAACACGTAAGGATGACGTTTCTTCTTTGTCGTTTTCAATTTGCCACTCTTCATACATCTGTACACAAAAACAGCACTAAGTGACTAATGGCTGCAAGTCTGGCTGCATGAGTCATCCGGGTGTTGCTGCGCGATGACTTCATGAGTTTCTGCACATGTTGCAGCAGGTGACACATTAAAAGGCCTAATCGTACAGATGTGATACATTTTATGAGACAAAAAAATATCAGCGCAGATTTCCAACGCAAACCTGCTTTACAAACTTCTCACAGTTCTCTAGTTAAAACAGAAAAAGCCAAACAATGTAACCTTTCAAAACAAAACAAAAAAAAAGACATTTCTACAAATTATGCTGCAGAGAAAGCATGTTTTGGAAAAGAGCTATTTTTCCTAAATCCAAAATAGCTTTTTATTTTGCTTTGCTCTAAATTGTTCCAACTAAAATCATATGTTGCTATGATCATAAATTATTCATTACAATCTGTGATGATTTAGGACATCTGGTCTGTTAAATGTGTTTAAATCTAATATTTCCATAAATCCAAGTAACAAAAAAAAAGATCTCTTCCCAAGAGGCAAAGCTCTTTCATTTATTGCACTTTAGAGCTGCAGAGAACCACACACACCTCCAAACTGCACATATGAGTACATTGTGAATTCTCCAGGCTACAATTCAAACAACTTAAAAGTTCATACTGACTTTTAATGACACACTAAAGAGGTTAGGCTTTGTCTGCATTTGAGGAATTTCCTTTTGTTTTCACACAGGCTGACTCATTTAGGTGGATGAACAGTAAAAGCTCTCAGTATGCTTAAGGTTTTAAGTGATGAATTAGTAATCAATTTGTAGATTGACAAGCAAAGATTTTGGATGAGAGGTGGGGTACACCCTGGAGATGTCGTCAGTCTGTATGAAAATGTAATAATGTTTGTAAACCTTGAGCAATTTCCAGCTGTCTGCGGGCGTCACCCAGAGCAGAAAAAAGGTCCAGCTTGATACGCGTCTCAGCGCTCAGGTTGTACTCCAGATGTTGAGCCTTTTCCTGCATGGCTGATAACGTGGAGAGCAGCATGTCTGTCTCTTTCTCCACACAACGGTACTTCCCCAAAGCCTGAAAACAGAATGGATAACAGCAGATAAAAACACATTAATTAAGCTAAGCCCACCAGAGGGAGTCCTTTCTTTGGTTTCCCAACTTCTTCCACTTCTTTTTTTCCTCTCTTTCTTTCTTTTTTTTTTTTTGTGGGGTTTTGCTCTGGGAACCATTAAACCACAGTTGTAGTAATTTTAACTTGACTGACGCAAAGTCCTTTTAAAAGCAGCTGCAATGGTTTCTCAACAGACCTGGCTTTGATCTCAGCATGCATGGTGAAGTGTATGTTCACTAATACGAGATCAAATCCCAACACAGCACAGCGTGCACACCAAACATCCATTCAGTAACATTGCTCACTGATGTAATGACAAAGTGCATTATGTTGACTGAAGGCCAAAATGAAAAAAAAAATTTAAAAAATCTCAGATGAAAATCATTCAGTTTGCTAAAAAAAAAAAAAACAACTCAAAAAGCAAAAACCAGATCATGAGCAAACTCAGGACAACGACGTACACGATCATTTGGGTCTCACAGACACTTAAACTCACAACTCATTCCCAAACAGAAGAAAAAGATACCTCGATATCTCTCTCTAGATCTACCACATGGCTCTCTTTCACTTGATACTCCAGCTGCAGTTGTTTGTACTCTGTTTCTAGATCTTTAACTCTTTTCCTCAACATTTGGGTTTCACAGTGTTCCTGCCTGGTGTAGGAGATGGAGAGATTATCAGTTTGGATTGGAGAGAAAGGAGTGGGATTATCAGCAGACCAGTTCACACAGAAAGAAAACAGAACATTTGTTGTATTGATGAAAGAAGACAAAAATATAAAACAAAACAACCAAAGCAAGCAGAAGTGTTACAAAATCAAAAATGTGTATTTCAAGACTTGAGCAGAAAAGGAGCCTTTCACTGGTCAGAGTTTGTAGCTTGCCAAGAAGGACTCGACATGTAGACAGTGCAAAATGGCAACCAAACACGTTTACTTCTTCCAAGAGAAAAAGAACATTAAAATTTAATGTGGAGCTACTTTTAACTTCAACATAACTAAAGATTTTTTTTTCAGTCCACTAGTCTCTACATTTGGAAAAATTACAGTTCTTTTTATCTTCTGGTATTTATATAAATGGTATTTAAAGTAGATCTCATGAAGCTTCTGATACACAAAAAAAAGAACCTCTAAATTCAAAATATATAGGAATTCTTATTGCTACTAATTCCTGAGCTACTGGAACAATTAATTCATTTTCAGTATTTTACACATCTTTACCACTCAGTGCCAACAATTTGTCTAAATAAATCACATTTAAAAACAACTAGGTTTAGCACATTACACCCTACTTTACATATGTATCATCTGATCTGCACCAAAGTTACATAATGAGAGCTGTGACCAGCCCTGTGAGCGCCTTAAACTCAAACACTAATTTTAAAAACAATCTTGAGCTGCAGAGAGGCAGAAGCAGGGTGAGTATGGTCTCAGCACCAACTTTCTGGATAACAGGAAGGCGATGTAATGAAGCCTGACTGATCCCTGCTTTCAGGGTATTACTATTATCAAGATGAGTTGCAATAAAGCCATGCACAACATTCTATGAAGGATAAAAATAGCATTTTTGTTGTTGATGAAAGCCTGACCTCACCAAGATTTGTTTCATAAGTCCAGCACAGTGACCATAGAAACCCCACTCGGCCCAAATGTAACGGCCTCAGTTATGCTTTTATTATAAATTCAGTGCTTTGCATCTAATAATCCAGATGTTCCTGTCACTCCACAGCATCAGTGACAAGAAGTATTAAACCTCGTGTTGAGATTCCTAATTTTCCTAACAAAAAAAGTCAGACTTCCTCTTAACTCTCACCAACTGCAGGCAGGATTTTAAGGCGCCCACTCACTTCTGGACAATGAAAAGCCAGACAAGAGGGGTTTACCTGTTGGTCAGGGTCCGTGCGGCATTCGCCGCCTCCTCCAGTTTCTGAGCCTGAAGCTCAGCCAGCTGCTTCTCAGCGGAGAGTCGACCCTCTGCTTCAGCTCTGGTCTTTTTCTCCAGCAGCGCTGAGGTCTGTTTGTCCCTCTGCTTGGTTTTAGTCAAGCACAGAATCCTGAAGGCAGAAACGGAGACTGATCATAAAAAGACCTTGATCTGAAAGAATAATGTTTGTGGATGCTTAAAACTTCAACCAGCATTATGTCATTTCTTGAGTTATTCAAATGTGTTTTATTCAGAGTCCTCAAACTATAGCTTAAAGTAAGTATGTTTTAACTGTGAATTAGTTGTAGAAAAACTACTTACAGAATTTTAAACTTTTTGTTTACTATCTTACACTCAGAAAATGTTATTTTCCACTCTCGGTTTAAAGCTTTTACAGCAACTGAACACGTAAAATGTGTGTTCAACTTACAATTTGAAGAAATGTCTCACTTTTCAAAATTTTCAATACTCAGATTTGTTTTGGGAAGTTTCTGTAAAATTCTGGACTACAAGAGGAGGATTTAAATTACAGTGCTGTTTCACAGCAGTTTTTAAAATCTGGAGTAATTTAGATCAGCTCTATTTTTAAAATGTGGCAAATTAGGACCCAAACACTTTTAATTTTTATTATGTTGGTAGTGGTAAGAACAACAATAATAGTACTAAAAAAATCTATACTCATTTACCATCTCTTGAGAAATAGATCTTTTGCCTGTCTGTCGACGATACATAATACAAAAAAAAAAGCTGTAAAATGTTTGGAATATCAAAATAAATGACACAATTTAAATATATATCAATACAAAAAGTAACTTACTTTTCAGATATTCAGATTTTTTTTTTCTTGTAGATATGGGAAAAGGAATAAAGTTTTTGAACATTTTTCTATACTTATCTCAAACTAGACTTTAACATTCCAAATTTTTGAAGACTTCACAATAACGTTGCAAAGTCAAGCACATCTTGACTTGCATTAAGTTTACAACCATGGCCTTTTAAAAAAGCCTCACAAAAAAAGAGGTAATGTACGATAATAATGTGTGTTTGAAGCATGCCACAAAAATTTCAGTACGGCAAAGAAAACTGTCTCAAATTATAGAAATGCACGTCTTCTCCAATGGCATCAAAAGAAACCTACGAATGCAATTTTCAGAAAAAGCATGAGGCATAAACCAACCTAACAGATGTAAATTCAATTTTATATAACCAAGTCCGTCATGTACTGCTTCCTTTAGACAATGGAATAAAATTTAAAGTATAAAAGTATAAAATTCATTGTCATGACTAAGATGAGTAGATTTGAACAAATTGTGTAAAATTTAATGACAGTTGGCATAATTATTATATTTTCTGTTTTTACTTTTACTGTCTCTACCAAATAAATAAATACATAAAATACATCTGAAGCTTTTGATGACTGAAAGAGGCAATGATGTGGTGCTTTAAGTGCTTTGCAGAAAACTAGAATATTTGGATTTCTTACAAAATTGCAGTGGGATTGCTGAATGTTGAATGTTTTTGGTGAAAATTGCAGAACAATTTAAGTAAGGTAAGCTAACTGAGAGAGACTAATGATAGCGTGTAGGCTAGCTGTAGCATGTTGACCTACAGTAACATACAGAGTGAAATAAAACGTGCAATCTAAAATCAGCTTAAAAGTTAAAACTAGCTTTAACAAATAATGATACCATCTAGGCTAGCATTTGCAGGTTGACTTACAGTAACCTCCAAAGGCTGTGGAGAGTTAAAAACCCACGTAAAAGCTAAAACTAGCTAAAAAGGTAAACCCACCTAAAATACTAATAACATCTAGGCTATCAATAACATGCTGACTTAGAGAAACAAACTCCACACAGAGTGAAAAAACCCATGTAAAAGCAAAAGCTAGCTAAAAAGCTAAAGCTATCTAGGATGTAGGCTAGCACTAGCATGTTAATCAACAGTAAAGTATTCCATGCAGAGTGAAAACACAACATACAAACTAATATTAGCTACAAAACTAAAGCTAGCTGAAATACTATTGATAGCATCTGGACTAGAGCTAGCGTGTTGGCCTACAATAACTCACTATGCAGAGTAAGGCCTTCTAAATCAAATTAAATTTTATTTGTAAAGCACTTCTCATCAACAAGGCATTTCAAAGTTCTTTACATCATAAAAACACAAAAACACAAAATCATAAAACACACAGTCAACAGTAGGAACTTTACGTTTTGTCAAACACCATTGACATCAGGTTGTTGACATTAATTATGTGTCAAAAGCAACTCTAAGCAATTGGGTTATTCATCTAGATTTTGCAGTTTTTTGGAAGTTCATTCCAGATTTGTGGTGCACAGAAGCTGAATGCTTTTTCTCCATTTTTGGTTCTGGTCCTGGGGTTGTAGAGTAGACCAGAACCAGAAGACCTGAGAGATCTGGAAGGTTCATAAAACAACAGCAGATCTTTAATATATTGTGTTCAGTGATTTATAAACTAACAGTATATTGGAGTTGAAAAGAGGATTGGAATTAGGGTCCTTCCAACCCATTTCCACCTTTATTCCAACATTAATTTCAACCTTATTTATTTAAATAATTCATCAACAATTAACAGATTAGATCTGTTGAAAATCCTATCTATTCCCAGATGGATGACACGATTTGGTATCATTTTATACTTTTCCGTGCTTATAATTAATATTTTGTGCAGCTCTCCAAGTGGGTTCAGTGGATCACTCACTTGCTCTGCAGCAGCATGTTGGACTGTCTGAGGAGGGAGACCTCCGGCCTCAGGCTCCTCTCGTTGTTGGTCAGGTTACAGATGTGACTTCTCAGCTCCTGTTCACTCTGCCTGCTTGTCTGCAGCTCCCCCTTCAGCCTCCGCAGTTCTCCGTCAAGTCTGATAAAAAGCAGAAACACCTCAGCACCAATTTAAGCCCAATCTGGTGAACATAAACAGCTACGTACTTGCTGATTTGTTCTGTGTGATAATTGTGTATCGCTGTGGCGCTCTTGTCTGCTGCGTCCCTGTTGGGGCTGATTGTTTTTGAGTTTGTCCTCTGTTTTTTCTCGGGCCTCCCTGCAGGAGGTGAAGGAGTGTTTGTGTTGCTTCTGCGGGCTTTGGGGGAGGCGCTCTTGGCAGCTCGGGTGGCTTTGCTTCCCTGATCCTCTTGAGGTAGATTTTCCGGGGTAATGGACTCTGGTCCTCCTTCCCCACTGTGAAGCTGATCTTTGGACTCAGCCACAAGGTTTTTAGATGACGACGGTGGTGGCGGTCGTCGGCTCGGCTCGGCCGACCTCACCTCCTGTGATGCCTTCTCAGCCGCTCGCTCCTCACTGCGGATCTGCAGGCAGTCGGCGATGTGTGCGTCATCATGGGTGACCATGGCACCGTTCTGACACTGATACTGACCGGGCTCAGGCTTGACCTTCCACTTAGAGGCTGTGAAACAACAGGAAGAAAAGCTAAAGGTTGAACAGTCTCTTCTCTGATTTCACAAACGCAAACTGCAGCTTGTAGTGACATTTCTATAATGACACTCGTGAGACACATTTAAAAACTAATTGGAAATTCTGGGAAATGAAACTGTCAAATACAGTAGTTTATTACACAACTTTTTATTACTAATTTAATCTCACTGAGTTTTCCTTCATGAGAACCAGAGATTTTAAAGAATGAAACCAAGAATAAAAAGGCAAAACCATTGATAGAGCTGCCTCAAACCTTCATGATGGAAAAGCATAAATGTTTTTTATGCAGAGAGAAAGAAGCAAATAAAAAGTCAAAAAGCAGCTGGTTGCAAAGGTGGTCATGGAGTGTTGCTGAAGTGCTGCTGCAGGTGCCCAGACTTACTGCTGCTGCTGCCATCTGTGCTGGTTTTGGAGTAAACCTGCAGGCCTGGTGGGAGCGAGTGCTGAAGGAGGTGCATGTGAAAGTCATTCTCGCTTTGCACGGCTTTCTGTATGCGCAGCTTGAAAATGTTGGTGAAGTAGCAGGTGGCATCAAACCCCAGATAAACAACAGGATAGCCGATACTGAAAGCAGATATACGAGGAAGAACAAAGCAGTTAAAGAATACAATGTAAATTCAAAGGAGACTGTAGAGCCACAGCTTGGCTAAGTGCCAGAGAATCTGACAAAAAAAATTTAAAATAACTGTGTCAAATTTTGCACCACCTCAGTCTTTAGTAACTATGAAACAAATGGTGCAAAAACAATTTTTTTCGTAAAGGTACAAACATTGAAATGATTGCTAATCATTTTAATTGATCAACTTTTCAATAATGAACAATACAGAGCCCACCACATTTATTGACAGCGTAAGAGTATAAATATGACACAAAAGTCAATTTTTCTTCATCAATGTTCAAACGGAAAAGACAACAAGATATATTATTTATATTTATTGCATATATGTTTAAAGTCGTCTATTAATTGAATAGACTTCACTCTTCTTACTGAAATAATTATCTTTGATATTCAGCGTTTAACTAAAAATGTAAATATATCCTGATTGCGATTGATTCTCAGTCTATAATATTTTATCATCTCTTTAGATTTCCCTACCTCATCTATCAGAAATCAATTTCTCAGCTCAGTAAAAATGATTTTACATCTAAATTTACCAAAGATATGAATACTTGTGGGGTTACCTGCATGTTTTGGTTTCTGAAGATCTTCATAACGACCACTAGACACTGTCTATAAGTCACTCTTTGTTGAGAGGTATGCCATGAAAAATGTTTTATTTTTTTCGTCCTATCATCACCAATCTAATTGTGCAGAGTTGGCTAAATGCTACCAATGCTTTAAAAGGAACTTGGGTCAGATGAGATTAAAGTTTCTTTTAGATTACAGTCACACAATAAACACACAACCATCCTTTCACATCATTCAAGTTGCTCTGCTGAGATTGCAGGCCATATAAAATTTCAGCACAAGAATCTTGAATTTTATAAATGGGGAAAATTTGCAAAAGAGTATGACACAGTGGAAGCAGTTCTTTGAACTATCAGGCCTTATTTATATAGAAATTGGATGGCCTTTCCAAGAAAACTGGGATTTCAGGTCTTTTGTTAGGATAAAATGGTCAAAATGACACTAAAATGATTCATAAGATATAAAATCATCCCAGCACTAAGACCTAAATTAAAACCTTTCAGCTCACATGAAAGAAAACCTTTCATGTGAGCTGAAAAGAAGACAGCATAGGAGAGGACTCTGGTTATGCATTTTTGACTAAAGAAAGTTTAATAAACAGGATGCAAATGACTAGCAGACTTTATGTGAAAATAGTGAGTGCAGGGAGATTATGCAGCTGCAATAAATACTGAAGTATCTTAAGGCTATTCATACATCTTTACCAGTTACCAATAAATATGGTGGGTGCTCTATCAGCCAGAAGGTAAATTTATATCACAGCAGCATACCAATGTGCAGCAAAAAGATGAGACAGGTTGGGATGAGAGGTATTAAGATCTTTGAGTCGAAGCGAAGCCTCAGTGTAGACGAGCAGAATCCACAGGGACACCGTTGATATACAGATGCCTTTCTCTGGGAACGAAAACAGGATTTACTGGAGGCATTCAGGGACACTTTTCAAACCACTGCGTTAAAAAGTTAAAGCTCTATGATGCAATTAAAATATGTAATAAGAGCAATGACAACTTCTCTTTTGGATGAACTCAATCCAATTTTTTTCTGTTGTCGCACAATTTAGAATGTGTGACTGTTGTAGGAAATGATAAAAAAAATGTCATTTGAGTCGAGGAGGAGAATCTGGTCTAATATCAGCACAATGCAAGAGCAGAGTGGAAAATCATTATGCAATACAGCCAGACTGACTTACATGCTTCCATCGTAACAATTCAATTACATTTATTGGTCAGCTGATGATGGATGGATGGATGGATGGATGGATGGATGGATGGATGGATGGATGGATGGATGGATGGATGGATGGATGGATGGATGGATGGATGGATGGATGGTAGAATATATCTTATATATACATATATATATATGTATATAAAAATAATTACATACATGTATGCGTGTTCGTGTGTGCGTGACTTCAGTGAGTAAAGAGACAGAACAGACTCACCTGTGTGCCATATATAGTTGAATAATACGTAGGTGCTCGCCACAAAAAACAGCCAGTGCAAAGGAACAAAAATTAAACAAAAGATGTCCAGTGTGAAGGCGGCACAAACAAAAACAACACAAATAACCTGAAAACAAACAAGGTGAGTTTAGTTTGCTGCAGAAAAAAATAGTTCTTTTTGTTTGTTTGTTTTTAATACAGAAGATTAGCCATAGTGTTTTACTATAGCTACATTCATTATTGGAGCTACAGTCCAGAACATGAGAGCACACAGTGGAAGTCCTCACCAGGCCGTGGCAGTGGAAAGTGGTGTACACACTCCCAAAGAACAGCCAGCATGGCCACAAATACTCCAGTCTGAATTCAAGGATGAAGTCTGCCAGCAGCACCAGCGTCCACATCACCATGAATTTCAGGAAGGTGTACGCACTGCAAGGACATGTGAAATCCATGAAAGACGTTGTAACAATCACCTGCGTACATACTGAAACATATCTATAAATGAACAAATGACCACTCTTCTTTCTGCTTAAGGAGTCTCATGCTTACGTCAGAGCGTTACATACAAACAAACACAAGACTGGAAATGAAAAACAGACCAGAAACTACAACTAAGCAGCTGCATCCTGACAATACAGTCTATTTCCTTAAGTAGAGGCAACAAAGAACAACCACTGTCCCCCATGATCATTTTTATTAGGCAGCCAAACACGAGCGGTGCTTTCCATCCTTTGTTCTGCTCATCCAGACTGCCGTCACATCACCCCTTCTTTGTTTGGTTGCCATGGCAGTATTTCATCTGGAGGAGAGACGGAGCACCACAGCATCCTTCTGCTGCTCCACATACGTCTCTTTCTGAAGTGGCCTACATGTTTGAAAGTATCAGAAACATGCAGTCCTTTCACAAAAATAACTGCAACATTTGATTTGTTAATTCAGATTGATTTTGTAAACGTTGCTTCAATTTTTTATTTTTTTTATGCACACAGATGCCAGACTCGTATTCATGTTTTTAGATAACGGAATGAGCTCTTATTGTTCGGCAAATACCTAAAAATAAGATTTTCATTGTTTTCTTAAAATACAAATGCATCAAAAATAAAAACTGGGACCATTTTTTTTGTCAATCAACAGCAGCTCTAAAAAAAACAGGTTTGGGGAATTGGCATATATTTTTAAACCTTTAGCATATTTAATGAAGTAAGTGCTTTTAAAATTGCAGTTTCTTCTGAAGGGCCTGCATCAGTCAAAACCTTTTATGTAAATTATGCATTAACTATTGAACAGTAACATACAGCCTCCCATTTGTACACAGCTCTGACAGTATGACATTAGCACATATTTAAATAATATAAAATTTCTCATCTTAATGTACTAACTGCATAAACTATCTACTTCCTTTTTCTCCTTTACTTTGTTTTGCTTTTTCCCTTGAGTGTAGCAGTAAAACAAAAACTATCACTTACTTAAAAAGAGTGTTTTGTATTTTATTGTGAAAGTATCTCATTAACTTCAAATTTACACTTGTATGTTTTAAAATAATACATCTTATCTTAATGCTATACATGTTTTATTATATTTTGATATAAACCTAACAATATTTGTATTTTTCTTCTATTATTTTGTATATTATTTTAATGTTTTCTACCAACATGTAACACAATAAGAGTGAAAAAAATAAAAGCTGAAGAAAACTACTTCAAAACAACTCCATGTTTGAAGATTTATAAGTAAAGTCAAAATAATGTCAAGGGGGAAAAAATCTGACATTTTTTTCTGGAATCCCTATAAAGGCGTTTCAAATGTCAAATTTTAACCCATTACAGCTTAATCCTTTGACAGGATTAGGCTGAAGATGTTCACATTCATAAAAATATGGATAAATAATGTGATAAATGTTAAGGAGCCTGGAGGGAAAGCAGGCCGACATGAACTCAAACACAGCTGCTGCTTTCTGCCTTTCTGTAAACAATGTAGGCTGGAGTTAACAGTATTCCCCAGCGCCTGTTTTTAATTCAGCTGCAGAGGCTCCAGTTAATCCAGCAGCAGCAGCAGCAGCAGCAGAGCGGCTCATTGAGAGGAAAAGATGCGACACACGGACGGAGAAAGAAGATGCGAAGCAGACCAGGTGAGGAAGACGACGGCTGAAATGCACACAAAGACGGAGACGTGGCGCCACAACAAAAGCAGCAGCAGCAGCAGAAGGAGCTCTGCTCTGCTCGGCTCGGCTCGGCTCGGCTCGGCTACCTCTCAGACAGCTTCTCCGTGATTTTCAGTCTTCTCATCTTCCGGAGCCTGTTCGCGTCCACATAGCGTTTCTTCATCTTATGGCTTCTGCTCCCTCCGTCCTGATGTCTGACGCTGCGGCTACAACAGCAGCGGCAGCAGCCAGAGGGAGGGGAAGAGGGCAGAAATAAATTCAACACACCGAAGGTATCCCTCCCTCTGCGTGTGTTTGGATGGAGGATGATGATGCTCACCCTCCAACCTGCGTTGAGGTCTGTGAATGTCCGCGCATGCGCACTGCGGGATGCACCTACAAGTGTTTATCACAGGAGGGGAGCAGATCAACACAAAGCCCTTTGTAGCGTTGAACTGCATCAGTGAATTACTGTAGAGCGCTTTATTGAATGCATGGAGTAAAATTCATTATTACCTCATTTTGAGTGAAGACAATTGTGTAATTTTTCCAATTTTTGCTGTGAATATGTTGTTTTTTTCAGCAAGATACCTTTTCATCTCAAATCTGTGTAGTCCAGTTAATTATTAATTCATAAATTTATTGACGATTATTTCAATAATTGATTCATCATGATACATCATGATTGATTTAATTAATGATTTCTGTTATAAACATTTACAATTTCTGGAAAATTATTAATTAGGATTAGGAAAAACACAGAAAAACTTATCTGGGAACAAACTTGGAAATTTTACATAATGTGGTGACCTTGGCTAACCACTCAGGGCGTTCCCCGCCTCTTACAAGTTGACTGCTGATTGGCTCCAGCATGTTTGTGGATATTAATAAACTACAGCTATCAGTGTCATGCTTGAATATCATACTGTACATATTTTGTTCAGTGGGTCCTCTGCAAAATCAACGTGAAAAAACTGATTCTTTATCACCACGGGTATTTCACAGGTGTTGTGTTATCTGATGTTTGGTTGTTTTCTTAAAAACTGGAATGAACTTGAATTTATGTATTCAGTCATCACATGTCTCTGGTGCTGCACATATAAAAGTCACATCTGCAGGTTTCCAACTTGGACAATTCCTAAATTAACCACAACCATGGGCTCCTTTTACCTCCTGTGTATCCTTGGTTTTGCTGCTGCCCTTCAGGTGCCTGGCATCTTGGCAGAGGTGAGTAAATAGAATATTAACTTTATATTCGCATTTCAAAGCATTGCCATTTTTTTCATTAATCTTGCAAAGAATAATTAAATTTTCTCTCTTGCCTCTAAAAATGACAAAAGACAGAGGGTGAGTACTTACTGCATTTATAAAGTTGTATTGTTTGAAATTTTGCAGTGATGTTTCGCTCTTTTTTGGTTTTACATATTTTGTTTCTCTTATTTAGGCGTCATGCGCACGACTTCGACAGAGCAGACTGAGATTGTGAACAAGCATAATACTCTGAGGAGAGGTGTCCAACCTACTGCCAGAAACATGATGAAAATGGTAAAACAAATGAAATAAAAAAGAAATCTTATTGCTTCTGATATTGCCATCTAAGCTTTCTGGTTTAATCATTTCCCCTCACAGGAAGACAAAATTTTTTTCCTGCGAAGAATTTGTAATGAATGTTTTAAAATAAATGACATTACACTCAGTTTTAAATATAAAATGTTTTCCCTGCAATACAAAAGAAGTAATAATAATAATAATAAATAAAAATAAAATAGGAAGACCTGGTCATCTAAATGTTGTTGGAGGAGTGTTGTGTATTTGTTTAGGTTTTATTTCTGCCTTTTCTACAGACCTGGAACAAAGAGGTTGCAAGCAAAGCTGAGAAATGGGCAGCAACCTGCTCCATGAAACACAGCCCTTCAAGCTCCAGAGTCATCAGCAGTAAGCTCATCGTGGCAGCAGACATCTTTGTTTACATGCGAGACTTGCAGATGTGTAAAATCAGTAAAGAGCATTTAATTTAAGACAACCAAAGCATACTTTTACTTTTGAGAAAGTTTTAAAACATGGCATAGATACAGGAAATATAAGGCTTCAGCATTGATAAATGGTAATATTTTTTTAAATAATTTTTTACAGAAGTACCTGGACTTAATATTAGTATTCTCTGTATAACATTAGGATTTGCTTTCATGTTCAAAAAGAGATCTATCTTGTTGGAGAGTCATGTGAACCAATAATAAACAAACTAGCTAAAGATTAGAGTAGGACAGCGATAGCAGAGCAAGTTTAAAAATCCTGATTGAACTCATGCAACTTTAACTTTAATTTTTTAACTTCAGAAAAACATATCCTGATATATAATAGGAACTGAGAACAAGGTTTGAATTTTCAGTATTTACAGAAATTAACTCTGAAGCAAATACTTGTACTTCAGTTTGATCAGAACTTTGATTAGTTCAGTTAAAGATTTTTATTCCAAAATAATCCTAGTACATTTTTTTCTAAGCTTGCATTCTTTTATCATAACATTTATTAACGTTAAAAAAATAATAGATGGTGGTAAGTCTTAGTGGATAACTACAGTTTTAGAAATCTTGACAACTGTTTGAATTCCTCCCATAAATATTTACTAATTTAATCTTGTGATATAACAGCCATATTTCTTCAAAACAAACTTTTTGGACAATTATAATTTAATGTACAAACATAAAATTACAAAATGTGGTCATGGATTGAGCAAAAATGATGTTGATATTGTATTTGTCTGCAGCCAGCGGATGTGGGGAGAATCTCTACATGGCCAGTTTCAAGAACTCCTGGTCCAACGCCATCCAGGCCTGGTACAACGAGGTCGCCAACGTCCGCTACGGAGTCGGATCCATCAACAGAGGAGTGGTGGGACACTATACACAGGTGCGGTTGTCTTCATAGTTTCCTATTCTGATTAGTTTGCAAACGTCAAAAACAGTGCTGAACAGCGTCTCTTTTTTGTGCATAGGTTGTTTGGGCCACCTCTAAAAATATTGGCTGCGCTATGGCCTACTGCCCCAACTCCACATACAAATACTTCTACGTCTGCCACTACTGCCCACCATAAGCACTTTATAATGCAGATAACTCTCTCAAAATTGCATGCTGTTTCACCTCAGAGCAAAAACTCAAATTATTATAAATTTTCCCTCTGCTAGAAAAGATTAATACAACACAGGCAGGATGGGTTACTGAGAAGAGCATTCTAATACTCTTCTCAGTATGCATCCACTTGCTCATTCATAATACAATAATGAATGAGCAAGTGGATGCAGGATCAAATTAATAGAAATTATTTCGTTCTGCAAAACATTTTCCAGTAATTAGATAGTAATTAAAACATGCTTTCCCTTCTAGATAGAAACTAGTAAGAATCTTTCAATCTTACATACTGTATAAATGTATCTATATATTTATTAACTAAATATTTATTTATATATAGTAACTAAATATTTATTTATGTATAGTAACTAAATATTTATTTATTTTAGTATTTATATTTTAATTATTTTACCTGCTTTGCAGAGTAAACTACAATTTAACTAATCCCTACAAGTCAGGAACATCTTGCGCTGACTGTCCCGGCGCCTGTGACAACAAACTCTGCAGTAAGTGCAAAAATATATGCTGAGGATATTTATGGAGGTGTATGTATGCAAACTATTTGTGTCATAGATGTGTTTTTTAAAACCATTATAGCAAGAAATATTTTGGAAAATGCAGGATTTATTGTTTCATTTTTTAATTTTTTTGCTGGGTTTTTTGCAGCCAAACTGTAATAACTAGCAAAGCAGCCGTCCCAACATTCATCAGCGGTGGGGCTTTAGCCACAGCGATGTGGCCTCCTGGAGTCCTACCTCCTGCAGATGCAACTATCAGACTATCTTAAAGTCACAGATGTACTCTGACTCACCTGTCAGTTTCAATAAATACACTCGCTGCATAAATCTGTGTTGTTATTCTGCTGGTTATTAACCCAAAGGTGAGACCTCTTTGTGCTACAGATGGAAGCAGAAGGGTCTGGTTTGTAACTCCTGGCTGCTAGAGCTGCTCAGTAATTATCAGAGGTCAAAAAGGAAATGTGCTTTGGCACAATAACTCTTTGAACAAACACAGCCTGCAGGGGCAGGCATCCTTTGACAATTTGTATGGTGCAAACTCGCAGAGAGGAAGGATAGCAGATATGACAGGGTTATTTCATAGAGGTGGGGAGGAAAGAAAAACAAAGCTGGATACGGTCTGTTATCAAGACCACTTGTTACCTCAAAATGTGTAAAATAAATATCCTTTTCAAAAATTAAAAAGAAAATAGAATTTCTAATTCACGTACATTTAATTAATGTAACAATGCCACTCTTGTCTCTTTTAAAAACTAGCAAACCTCAAATTTCCTCTATGCATTTTAATTGTTTTCATTCTCATGCATAAAATAATCCATCCAAACTTCAACATTACATTTCCTATTACCACATAGTAAAACACACTGCCATTGTATTGAAATTAACCCACTTTTCATGCGATAACAGACGACTGCCATTCAAAATAAACACTTGCCCTGAGTTTTTTGCAACACCGCCATGCTTGCCAAAAATGTCTCTCTTCACCTATTACAGTTAAGCATTATGCAAAGTTCCTATTTCTGCCTTAATGAGAACAGCACCTGCTGAGAGTGGACAGAGTAGCCGAGTTGGAGCAGAGGGGAGATAAGGGACATGAGTTTTTTCGTCTGCCAGCGGGTCCGGCGATAGCAAAGGCCTTCTGGTTTGGTCGGCCTCGATAAGACCGGTCTTGCCATCCTGTGGGGCTTATCATGTGCAGCAGCAAGCCTCGACAGTTAGTCCCAGAGCCAGAAAATGTTTACGAGACTGGCGTCAGCTCGGCGTCCCAGTTTTTTTTTCTGTTGCTGTTTTTGTTTGAAATTGCAAAAAAAGGGACATGTTTATTTGATATTTTAGTTTTCATAGCACCAACAGTATTATCCATTTAATTCCTGCAGCAAATAGTGGCTTATTTTTGAAGTATCTCCATTTAAACTCAGTTAAACCAAGTTAAATGTAAAGATGGAGCTCTACTGCTCCATCTCGAACCAAGAGGATCGAGCTACTAAGCAGACTAGTTATATTAAACTAATTTCAAGAAAGATAAAAGCAAACAAAAAGAAGGATAATAAGTTGGTGGGAGCTCTAAAAAGGCATTTCCACAGGCAGGAAGACACAAACAGATCAGTTACATCAGCATGCCCAGACTGAAGACAGTTAATTTAGTCTATGCCGTTATCTCGCAACATCTCCCCTCGGATCGGAAACAGGAAGCCAAAAGAAAAAGAGCTGCGTCTCGATGGGACCCAGCAAACATTTCAGGCCTCAATGCAGCAACATCTAAATGATGAATGTGTTCAGCTCAGATTACTTTTGTTGTGATATTACATGAAACTCACCATCAAAGTTAGAGCTTGTTGGTACTAAAAATTATAAAAGCTTTTTCAAAAATGACTGGAATAAGAAAAGGAAAAGAAAAACAGCCTTCATTCTATGACAAAAGGGAATTTCAGGTGTGATAGCAGCATAAAACAAAAACAAAAAGTAAAAAAAAAAAAAAAACGACAAAATACAAGATTAACAGTAACAATTATTATAGAATTTTTCTACATTTTTTATGAACACAAATTTTATTGCATTTTACTGGTATTTTATGTAATTAATCAATAATAAAGGAAAGCTGTTCTGTGCATTTGTTTTCAGCCTCCTTTTTACTTACAACCCAAAAATAAAATGCACAAAATTTGCTGATAAAAATCTTGCCGTTATCAGATGAAATCTATCTGTGTCTAATTTTTCCTCAGTTATTAATCAAATTGTTCTGTGAAGGCTTTGGGGCTTGTTAGAGGAAAGTAAGCAAACAAAAAGAAACAGCACACAGGACAAATTTAAAAGTAGGAGGAGATTACAAAGCAATATTTAAATATTCAAAGTGAGAGAAGCTAAATAGTCTTTTGATTAACAAGCAATAAACTTTATTAAAAAGCTCTACACATAGAACTTAGCACACCATGCACACAGTAAAGCATGGTGGCAGAAGCACCATGCTGTGATGATAATTATCTTGAGCAGCATAAGAGTTGATGCAAAAATGCATTGGAGCTAATTACAGAACAATCCAAGGAAAAAAATAGCTAGAAACAATATGAAACATTTTCATAATTGTTCTAACAGGACCCCCGAGGTTTTGATTGTCATGTTTTATATCTGATCACCTGTTTAAAGAGAGTTCCTCCTGCAGAAGCAATCAAAAAGGCCTCTGAGCGCTGCTATCACACAGTTTCCTTCCTTTCATTGAAGGTTTGTAAGGAGCAGCAGAATAACGCAAAACCAGGGAACATCTGAACCACAGCTTGCAACAATGCAGAACCCCTCTGTCACATGTCGATGCAATGGATGATGGCAATCACTGATAAAGATTTCAAGGAAGGGAGACTGTAGCATTTGCAAGCCTGAGGGTTTTACTCTCAGTATTGTAGCTGGTGCTCCAGTAAGCTTTTACTTCCCTATATTGTCCTGAAAATCTTATAACCAATGGATCGGGTTTACGTTATGGGGTCTTTGTACTCCCAATGCTTCCTAAAATTCATTTTTGTGACACTGAGGTTGTTGTTTTAGTGATCCGATGTGATTGGTTTGAGTTCAGCCTGGACTCTCTCAGGATGCTGGTTCACGTCACCCATCGGGGCGACAGGCGTTTTTCTTTTTCTAAGCTGAAAGTCAGCTTGATGGCTTGTCTAAATCAGTGCGGACCTCGAACAAATGTACATTAAACAAACAGTTCGGGACGGACCAAATGAGGAAATGGTTAAAGGGTGGGGACGAAACACAACATATGAGAAAACATTGAATAGCACACAAAAACACAGGAAAACAATCCAAGTTAATACACCAAACTTCACATTATTTTTCCAAACTTTTATAGATCTACATCTCCTGATAGTCAGTAGGGTTATGGATTATGCTAACCTGCTCTCTGCCTTAGTGATAATACATTCATTCTGGATTTTTTGGGTTTTTTGTGAGTGATCTAAACAGCCAGTTCTCCCGTACGTGGTGACAAAACTATGACATATATAGACTTTTCATACTAATTAATGTGTTGGATACTGAATTTTATGTTGATATTTTTATTAATTTGCTTCAGGAAGTCCCGGCGCTCTTACACATTTAAAAAAAAACATGTTACATAACACACCTTTAATAAATTTCTCCTCTTGTAATTTAGCTTTCTTTTCTTTTATTTTATGGAATATGTAATATTAGAAAAACATAGAAGAATGACATTAAAGTAGAGAGCAATAAGGTAATGCTATTTAAAATAGTAGCGCAATTAAACCGTCATGAGAGATTTGTGCACATTACAATCTCAGAGCCATTTTTGTTTAAAAAGCTTGACTTTTGTGCCTCAACTTTCATTCTTCACATTTCCTGACACCGATTTTCGCATTACTATATTGAAAATTGATATCTGGGAAAATAGAACGAACAACTTATACATCCCAGAGTGCTATCTCACGGGGGAGGCATAATAGCCTGACAAATGTTGCATGAGAGCAATGCATTAGTTTTTCCAGATCGTCTGTTTTCCTTGCCGCTCGCTGAACACCATTTCCCACTCTTGCCCTAATAATAAACAAGACCCAAGGGTCTTTACAAGTGCTTATCTCTGCTGCCCCAGTAATCTGACGCAGACATTTGCAATGGTCGACATTTGTGCAAAAGATTGAGTGAAAATTCCTCCCTCTCATCCTGGTAAATCTGTTTGCCATTAGCAGATGTAGCAACTAAATCTGTGCACTTCACTGAGGAATGATGTGGTCATGGAAGGGTCAGTCATTTGCAGGTCATTATTTCAGCAGACAGCAAACACATTTCTGCTTTGGGAAACCTCTCACATAATATTCAAAAGGTGTAGTCTTCACGGACAGAAGTTCAGGCCTTGATTCCCCAACAAAGTGTAAATCGATTTCATCCCTTTCATCTGAAGAGTTCACCTGGAGTTCACAAGCAGCTTCAAACGTGACTGTTTTTGCAAGGGCTGCAAAATGTGCAGCGCAGTTAAATCAAAGGTTATTTCACAAACATGTCTCTTATAGACATCTAACAAATGTGCAACCTCTTCTTCAATTACTTATAAGATCTACTATTCTCCGGTAAATTAATCTGTTAAAAGTAGGAAATGTATTTCATGCAAAAGTAGGAAATAGAAAATAAACATTTAAATACATTTATATTAAAAATTGGAGTCCAAGTATATGAAGTTTAAACTCA